CTCCGGATACGCTTTTCCTACCAAACACAAATCACTCAAAGTTTGCTGGAAGAGGAAAAAATGAGATAAACAAACATGTGATGAATAGAAAAGATACCGTAGAATAGTTCGGTCGGAATCCGGTGCAGAAACACAAACCCTAGATAACAAAGAGAGAAGTTGGGCTGGGCCGCATGTGGTATTGAATTTGGAAGAGTTCAGCCCTATCCAACATTAATTCATTATTAATTATTATTATAGTTATAGTTCAAAAAAATCTGAAATGAAATGATCAGTATCGATATGGTCTTAATAGACAATAAGGTCGTTATTTATTTACGCGTTTATTTCGCTTATGGTTAAAACAATATTTTGATGTAATTTCTAATGTTTTTTTTAGGGTGACAAGATCCATGCTTCTATAAAACGTAATCCCTAGAAAAAGTTTGAACTTATTGTGAATGAAGGTAATACCTACATATTTCAAAATTTTATGGCGGCTCCAAGCGATCCAAAATTCAGATCAACTCGCCATACTCACAAGATTGTGTTTATTAGCACTACTCGAGTAACTGATTTCCTTGCTGAAATATTCTTGTTGTCACTTTTAATTTTACGGATTTCCATGATATCATTAATGACAGGGATGATACATGGCTTATAGGTAATTTCATTTTGTTAGATTATGTGTTCCATTAATTTATACCAAAGATTTTAATTTTTGTGTATAACAATTATTTCCTTTTAGATGTTATTGGACATATTATTGAAAGGGATGCTTTGAGATATTATTGAACTGTCAATTGCAGATCTTAGAAAGGTCTGCTACATCAGCGATATACCACAAACTAGAACAATCTTTCCATGATGTCCCTTTTGGTGATTGACAAAAGGCAGTACAATTAATTCCCCATTCAATAGAACACATTACCAGCTACAACTGTGGCTATTGACGGTTATAATGTTTGACGAAATAATCTCACCATTACTTCCTACTAAAGTGGTTCCTAATTCAGAAGCTTGAAACTTAAAAAGAAATAACAGACCTCACAAGTAATTCTGCAAGTATCCAGGAAAGACTTGGTGAAGTAGTTTGTGGCTTCCTCGACTTCATGCTCAGTCCTGAATCCAACAAATCCAAATTGCCTGCTCTTCCCATCCCTGAAACAAACCAATTTTTCCTTATGAGTTCCTTAATTACAATTAAAGTGGCAATGTTTGAAGAACAAACTCACTTGGTGCGCATAAGCTTGGCGTCGGTGACTTCCCCTTTTTGGGAGAAGAACTCTCTCAGACGGTCCTCTGCAACATATTTGGGCAAGTCCGTGACCTTCCAATCAAAGATAATTAAAAAAAATCAATTTTAAGCATTGGGGCTGAAGTGAAGCGGGAAGATAGAAAGGAAGAAAATTACATGGTTGGTTTATGTTTATATTCTTTAATACCGAGATACTCCAACGCTGGAAGATGGACTAATTATCTCTTCTCCTCACCTCAACTACGGCCTCAATATTCCTGACAGGTGTTCCAGTGCAAATGCCACTAGCCTGATCAAACTTAATTGAAACCCCCTCAACCAAGCCGAGCTAAATACCAGTACAAATGCTCCGGATACGCTTTTCCTACCAAAACCAAAATCACTCAAAGTTTGCTGGAAGATGAAAAAATGAAATAAACAAACATGTGATGAATAGAAAAGATACTGTAGAATAGTTCGGTCGAAATCCGGTGCAGAAACTCAAACCCTAGATACCAAAGAGAGAAGTTAGGCTGGGCCGCATGTGGTATTGAATTTGGAGGAGTTCAGCCCTATCCAACATTAATGCATTATTAATTATAATTATAGTTAAAGTTCAAAAAAATCTGAAATGAAATGATCAGTATCGATATGGTCTTAATAGACAATAAGGTCGTTATTTATTTACGCGTTTATTTCGCTTATGGTTAAAACAATATTTTGATGTAATTTCTAATGTTTTTTTTATGGTGACAAGATCCATGCTTCTATAAAACGTAATCCCTAGAAAAATTTTGAACATATTGTGAATGAAGGTAATACCTACATATTTCAAAATTTTATGGCGGCTCCAAGCGATCCAAAATTCAGATCAACTCGCCATACTCACAAGATTGTGTTTATTAGCACTACTCGAGTAACTGATTTCCTTGCTGAAAATATTCTTGTTGTCACTTTTAATTTTACGGATTTCCATGATATCATTAATGACTGGGATGATACATGGCTTATAGGTAATTTCATTTTGTTAGATTATGTGTTTCATTAATTTATACCAAAGATTTCAATTTTTGTGTATAACAATTAATTCCTTTTAGATGTTATTGGACATATTATTGAAAGGGATGCTTTGAGATATTATTGAACTGTCAATTGCAGATCTTAGAAAGGTCTGCTACATCAGCGATATACCACAAACTAGAACAACCTTTCCATGTGTCCCTTTTGGTGATTGACAAAAGGCAGTACAATTAATTCCCCATTCAATAGAACACATTACCAGCTACAACTGTGGCTATTGACGGTTATAATGTTTGACGAAATAATCTCACCATTACTTCCTACTAAAGTGGTTCCTAATTCAGAAGCTTGAAACTTAAAAAGAAATAACAGACCTCACAAGTAATTCTGCAAGTATCCAGGAAAGACTTGTTGAAGTAGTTTGTGGCTTCCTCGGCTTCATGCTCAGTCCTAAATCCAACAAATCCAAATTGTCTGCTCTTCCCATCCCTGAAACAAACCAATGTTTCCTTATGAGTTCCTTAATCACAATTAAAGTGGCAATGTTTGAAGAACAAACTCACTTGGTGCGCATAAGCATGGCGTCGGTGACTTCCCCTTTCTGGGAGAAGAACTCTCTCAGACGGTCCTCTGCCACATACTTGGGCAAGTTTTTCACACATATCCGTGACCTTCCAATCAAAGATAATTAAAAAAAATATCAATTTTAAGCATTGGGGCTGAAGTGAAGCAGGAAGATAGAAAGGAAGAAAACTACATGGTTGGTTTATGTTTATATTCTTTAATACCGAGATACTGCAACGCTGGAAGATGGACTAATTATCTCCTCTCCTTACCTCAATTACGGCCTCAATATTCCTCACAGGTGTTCAAGGGCAAATGCCACTAGCCTGATCAAACTTAATTGAAACCCCCTCAGGCAAGCCGAGCTAAATGCCAGTATAAATGCTCCGGATACGCTTTTCCTACCAAAACCAAAATCACTCAAAGTTTGCTGGAAGATGAAAAAATGAAATAAACAAACATGTGATGAATAGAAAAGATACCGTAGAATAGTTCGGTCGGAATCCGGTGCATAAACACAAACCTAGATAGCGAAGAGAGAAGTTGGGCTGGGCCGCATGTGGTATTGAATTTGGAGGAGTTCAGCCCTATCCAACATTAATGCATTATTAATTATAATTATAGTTATAGTTCAAAAAAATCTGAAATGAAATGATCAGTATCGATATGGTCTTAATAGACAATAAGGTCGTTATTTATTTACGCGTTTATTTCGCTTATGCTTAAAACAATATTTTGATGTAATTTCTAATGTTTTTTTAGGGTGACAAGATCCATGCTTCTATAAAACGTAATCCCTTGAAAAAGTTTGAACTTACTGTGAATGAAGGTAATACCTACATATTTCAAAATTTTATGGCGGCTCCAAGCGATCCAAAATTCAGATCAACTCGCCATACTCACAAGATTGTGTTTATTAGCACTACTCGAGTAACTAATTTCCTTGTTGAAAATATTCTTGTTGTCACTTTTAATTTTACGGATTTCCATGATATCATTAATGACAGGGATGATACATGGCTTATAGGTAATTTCATTGTGTTAGATTACGTGTTCCATTAATTTATACCAAAGATTTCATTTTTTGTGTATAACAATTATTTCCTTTTAGATGTTATTGGACATATTATTGAAAGGGATGCTTTGAGATATTATTGAACTGTCAATTGCAGATCTTAGAAAGGTCTGCTACATCAGCGATATACCACAAACTAGAACAACCTTTCCATGTGTCCCTTTTGGTGATTGACAAAAGGCAGTACAATTAATTCCCCATTCAATAGAACACATTACCAGCTACAACTGTGGCTATTGACGGTTATAATGTTTGACGAAATAATCTCACCATTACTTCCTACTAAAGTGGTTCCTAATTCAGAAGCTTGAAACTTAAAAAGAAATAAAAGACCTCACAAGTAATTCTGCAAGTATCCAGGAAAGACTTGTTGAAGTAGTTTGTGGCTTCCTCGGCTTCATGCTCAGTCCTAAATCCAACAAATCCAAATTGTCTGCTCTTCCCATCCCTGAAACAAACCAATGTTTCCTTATGAGTTCCTTAATCACAATTAAAGTGGCAATGTTTGAAGAACAAACTCACTTGGTGCGCATAAGCATGGCGTCGGTGACTTCCCCTTTCTGGGAGAAGAACTCTCTCAGACGGTCCTCTGCCACATACTTGGGCAAGTTTTTCACACATATCCGTGACCTTCCAATCAAAGATAATTAAAAAAAATATCAATTTTAAGCATTGGGGCTGAAGTGAAGCAGGAAGATAGAAAGGAAGAAAACTACATGGTTGGTTTATGTTTATATTCTTTAATACCGAGATACTGCAACGCTGGAAGATGGACTAATTATCTCCTCTCCTTACCTCAATTACGGCCTCAATATTCCTCACAGGTGTTCTAGTGCAAATGCCACTAGCCTGATCAAACTTAATTGAAACCCCCTCAGCCAAGCCGAGCTAAATGCCAGTATAAATGCTCCGGATACGCTTTTCCTACCAATACCCAAAATCACTCAAAGTTTGCTGGAAGATGAAAAATGAAATAACCAAACATGTGATGAATAGAAAAGATCCCGTAGAATAGTTCGGTCGGAATCCGGTGCAGAAACACAAACCCTAGATAGCAAAGAGAGAAGTTGGGCTGGGCCGCATGTGGTATTGAATTTGGAGGAGTTAAGCCCTATCCAACATTAATTCATTATTAATTATTATTATAGTTATAGTTCAAAAAAATATGAAATGAAATGATCAGTATCAATATGGTCTTAACAGACAATAAGGTCGTTATTTATTTACGCGTTTATTTCGCTTATGGTTAAAACAATATTTTGATGTAATTTCTAATGTTTTTTTTAGGGTGACAAGATCCATGCTTCTATAAAACGTAATCCCTTGAAAAAGTTTGAACTTATTGTGAATGAAGGTAATACCTACATATTTCAAAATTTTATGGCGGCTCCAAGCGATCCAAAATTCAGATCAACTCGCCATACTCACAAGATTGTGTTTATTAGTACTACTCGAGTAACTGATTTCCTTGCTGAAAATATTACTTTTAATTTTACGGATTTCTATGATATCATTAATGACAGGGATGATACATGGCTTATAGGTAATTTCATTGTGTTAGATTACGTGTTCCATTAATTTATACCAAAGATTTCATTTTTTGTGTATAACAATTATTTCCTTTTAGATGTTATTGGACATATTATTGAAAGGGATGCTTTGAGATATTATTGAACTGTCAATTGCAGATCTTAGAAAGGTCTGCTACATCAGCGATATACCACAAACTAGAACAACCTTTCCATGTGTCCCTTTTGGTGATTGACAAAAGGCAGTACAATTAATTCCCCATTCAATAGAACACATTACCAGCTACAACTGTGGCTATTGACGGTTATAATGTTTGACGAAATAATCTCACCATTACTTCCTACTAAAGTGGTTCCTAATTCAGAAGCTTGAAACTTAAAAAGAAATAAAAGACCTCACAAGTAATTCTGCAAGTATCCAGGAAAGACTTGTTGAAGTAGTTTGTGGCTTCCTCGGCTTCATGCTCAGTCCTAAATCCAACAAATCCAAATTGTCTGCTCTTCCCATCCCTGAAACAAACCAATGTTTCCTTATGAGTTCCTTAATCACAATTAAAGTGGCAATGTTTGAAGAACAAACTCACTTGGTGCGCATAAGCATGGCGTCGGTGACTTCCCCTTTCTGGGAGAAGAACTCTCTCAGACGGTCCTCTGCCACATACTTGGGCAAGTTTTTCACACATATCCGTGACCTTCCAATCAAAGATAATTAAAAAAAAATATCAATTTTAAGCATTGGGGCTGAAGTGAAGCAGGAAGATAGAAAGGAAGAAAACTACATGGTTGGTTTATGTTTATATTCTTTAATACCGAGATACTGCAACGCTGGAAGATGGACTAATTATCTCCTCTCCTTACCTCAATTACGGCCTCAATATTCCTCACAGGTGTTCAAGGGCAAATGCCACTAGCCTGATCAAACTTAATTGAAACCCCCTCAGGCAAGCCGAGCTAAATGCCAGTATAAATGCTCCGGATACGCTTTTCCTACC